GAGATTTTGTCACTTGCTGAGGATATATTTTCCAACAGTATTCTCAGGAACTGTAGGAAGAACCACTAGATGGGTTTTGAGAGCCAGTGCACCTAAATATGAGGTGGGTTTCAGGCAGTGTACTTGTCACTAGGGCTTCATAAGCCTCCACTCTGTTCAGCAGACCACAGTAATACTCAATGTCCTCAAGAATTATAACTGCTTAGAGTCAGTAACTAAGAGTCCCTTAAGGTATTTTTGGAGAAAGCTAAGATACTTACGTGCAGTGTTGTAACAGGGCTCTTCTAGGTTACCTGACCTCCCATTTCTTTATGGGGATTTAGTCAGTGAACTGACTCAGGTCTGGGAATTGGACGAGAGACTTTAAATCTCTAAGGGAAAACAAACATCTCTAAGGGCCAATTCTCAATTCCTGTAAACCAATTGAGGCAATTAGATTTTATTGTCTAAGACAGGGAGAGTAAATGCAAGCACTAAAAGAAACATAGCTGGTCACAACCTTCAAACTCTATGATGGGTCCCAGGGACTTGGAGGAGGAACAGTGGCTTTGGGTTCCAAGAGAGGCAAATACCTAAACGCACTCTGAAGCAGTAGGATTCTGGAGGAGAGTGTCATTGGGGGAAATTATCCTGGGGGCAAGGAAGAGGAGAGAAGGGACCTGAAAGGACTTAAAGGTTGCTTGGGAAGATGAGCATAGAGCTCATGGAGCATGTAGCTGCGCTTGGCATGGAAGAAGTGGAATTGTCAATAAAGATGCCCTCTTTCAAGAAACCTCCATGGACTGGACAGAGATCTGCATAAGTGGGACTTAGCTATAGCATGTACCATCTGTGACGACCAGCTCTCAACAGCGACACCATGTGGCAGGGAGGAGAACGGCGGCAGCAGCAGGTCCAAACTAAAAAGTTAACGTGACTCTTCCCCACATGAGAGTAGAAGATTGGCACACCTCCTTTTTGAATTGCTTAAACCCTCAGAATTCTTGGACAATCTGGTGAGGAGGGAGATGTACGACTGTAATACTAGGATTCCCAATGGCATGGCATGTGAAGAATCAAACCAATTCTGCCAAAATGAATAAACGAATTAGCACTTGTACCCTGAGGGTCAGGAGAAGCACATGCCTGTTGCAGTAGAAGGAGCACTAAACTGAGTCCAAAATCCTAGATTCTAACTGAGCTCTTCCACGAGATCACTGTGTGGTCATGGTCAAATTATTTAGCCTTTCTAGCTTTTGGGGGTTGGACAGGATGAGTGTTTCCAAACCATTTCACCTTGAGAGGCCCAAGAATCCTTCTATGAGGGTAGTTGACTGAGTAAATACATATATTTCACCTTGAGAGGCCCAAGAATCCTTCTATGAGGGTAGTGGACTGAGTAAATACATATATACCAAATACATTTACAAACTCCTTGCCAAAACTCCACCCTCTTGCTATGATTCTAATACCCACAAATTGCAAGCCCTTTGATTAAATAGAAACAACAAGAAATCCATAAGAGCTAACAGGTTGTGCTGTTAACTATGTACGAGGCACAATGCTAAGGCTTTACAGGCACTGTGTTATTTAATTGTCACAAATATTATGAGATAATATTTCCATTTTACAGACGAGGATGCTGAGGTTGAAAGAAGTAAAATAGCTACTTTAAGCTCATACAGCAAAAAAGGAATGGTCTTGAGGTTTAAAATCACATCTTACACAGAATCCAAACTTGTAGCCACTAATTTTAATGCTATAATAGAGTTCCTAGCTCTGACATCCTAACATTCTGTTACCTCCTTGTTACTAAAAAACCAGGAGGTGGATGGGGGTCTATTTAGGTGATCTGGGTCAATTTTGGTTTCTACCTCTAGGGTCAGAATAAATTTGGGAGTCATTGGGATGAGCCTATGTCATTCATTCAGTCACCAAGTACTTACCAAGTCCCTACTGTAACAGTCGACACTAATGTGGAGTTACAAAGGTGAATTTGCATGGATCTTGCTCCCAAGAGTTTATAGTCTAGAAATCGAAATGAAGACCAGGACTTGAAATTTAATTGCAAGTTACGAGTGAGAAGAGTTATAATGCATGTCTTTCTGTCTCCCTCTTAATGTGGGACCAAGAGGCAGGTAGGAGACAATGAAAGAGATACAATATTGTACCTTCTTCAGAAACAGTAAAGTGTAATAATAAAGAGTATGGACCTTGTAGTCAACCATACCTGATCTTAAATATTGTCTCCACTAATTTACTAACTTGTGACTTTGGGTAACTGCATGTCTTGGAACCTCCATTTACTCCTCTGGAAATGAGAATAATAAAAGCACCTACCTGTAGTTTCTAGGGCTGCTGTAACAAATCATCACAAACTTGGTGGCTTAAAACAACAAAAATGTATTATCTTACAGTAATGGGACCAGAAGTCTGAAATCGAGGTGTCAGTAGAGCTGTGATCCCTCTGAAGGCTCTGTGGGAAAATCCTTCTTTGCCTCTTCCAGCTTCTGGTGGCTCCTGGCATTCTTTGACTCATAGCTGGGTAACTCCAATATCTGCTTCCATCTTTGCACGTCCTTCTTCTCTGTGTCTCTGGCTGGTATCCTTTTCTCTTATAGGGACACTCTCATTGCACTTAGGCCCACCTCCATATGATCTCATCTCAATCTTTACCTTAATTACATCTTCAAAAACCCTATTTCCAAATAAGGTCTGATTCTGAGGTTTGAGTGGACATGAACTTTGGAGGAACACTATTCAACCCACTACACTGCCTCGTAGGATTGTTGTGAGAATTAAATAAGGTAACGTATGTAAAGCATTCAGCACAGTGCCTGGTACCTCACATAGCAGATACTCAATAAATGTTATAGATCTATGTTACATGTATATAAATATTATATATATGTTATATATATGTGTATGTATATATGTGTGTATATATATATATAGAGAGAGAGAGAGAGAAAATGGGCACAATGGTTAAACACTCAGCTGCTAACTGAAGGGTTGGTGGTTCGAACCCACCAGCCACTCTGTGGGAGAAAAGACCTGGCAGTCTGCTCCTGTAAAGATTTACAGCCTAGGAAACCTTATGGAGCAGTTCTACTCTGTTTTATAGGGTCTCTATGAGTTGGAGTAGACTCAACGGCACAGAACAACAACTATCTATTCATACACACACACACACACGCACACACACACACACAAGTACTCCCTGACTTACAACATATTCGAGTTACAACGAACTGCATTTATGACCATCAGTTTTGGGGGGTTTTTTGTAAGTGTTATTGTTAGTAATATGTACTACATACAGTGTTGCAGCTCATAATTTGCTAATGTTATCATTCTCCGATGTTCACTCACAGATGTTCAGTGATCAGATTTATAAAGATACTGATAATAAAAAGCAATAACAATGAAAACTTTAAAAAAGGAGATATTGGAGTTATGCCAGAACCAACTTATGATGGAGTCATCAGAACGGAACCCCATCGTGAGTCGGAGACTACCTGTATGTGTGTGTAGGTGTGTATGTATTGTTGTTATTCTTATTTGTTACTTTCTTTTTCTCCCAGAATGTTTTGGGTATTTGAGTATACAGTGTGTCCATTTTCTCAACGGGCAGTCTCTTATTGTATTTTTTATTTTCTCCAAAGAACATTTTCTTCATTTTTACTCAAGTGAGCATTTTGGTCATCTTGCAGAAGTAGGTGAGTTTTTTGCTGTTGTTGAGAATTATTTTTCCCTAGTACTTCTTTATGGTCAGAGCCCTGGTGGCACAGTGATTAAGAGCTCAGCTGCTAACCAAAAGGTTGGCAGTTTGAATCCACCAGCTGCTCTTTGGAAACACTGTAGCGCAGTTCTACTCTGTCCTATAAGGTCACTATGAGTCAGAATCGACTCAACAGCAACAGGTTTGTTTGTTTTCTTTATGGTATTATAACAATCATCTTCCATCAATAACCTATAGATTCTTACAGAGAAGATACACACTCTACTTGTAGGTTGCAAAGTTTAAAATGTGTCTTTTTTATCCTTTATTCATTATACTCCCATCTTCCATCCACATGCCACTATCACCCCAGGCCTATATCGTGCCCCTTTCTCAGAAGTCTACCTCCTTGGGAAATCCTTGCAGCTCTGCCCCGTCCCCATCCCCACCTATCCCCAAAGTGAGTGTGGTGTTTGGCTGGACTGAAATAAGCTGATCCATGTTCTAGATAGTCCTGGGCACTAAACGGGGCTCTGGACTCTGGGTTGAGCTTTGAGAAGGGTCCTGAGGTCTGTGATCTGGAAGTGACTCTAAGATCAAAACCATACTCTAAACTAGACTCTGAGCTCCAGACTGGGCTGTAAGATGGGTCTGGCTGAGTGATAGACAGGCTGTGGACAGTACTGCTGTCTGAGTACCTACTTTGGCACTGGACTCTAGGCTGAGCTCTAAGCTTAACTAGACTCTGGACAGCCAAGGCCCAGTCCTGAACTTTTGCGTCCTCTCCAGCAGTGTCCATTTCTGAAATGAAAGCCAGTGGGCATGTGGGAGAAATACTGGACTATTTATTGCAAAGCTAGGTTGGCAATCAGGAAGCAAGGAAGTGATCAGGCCACAGAAAGCCCTCTGTACAGAGGAATCAAGGAACAAGAGAGAAGAATAAAGGGGGTAGGGAGAATGTGCTGAGGTACATAAACAGCCACCTCTTCCAACTGTTTTTCCAATCCTGGGACCTTCCCTGTAAGGAAAAACTCTTCTGTTGACCTGTTTTCCACCTCCCTCTGGGCAGTGCTAACAGCACATTCCCCAGGCCGAAGAAGTCCCTGATGAACACGGAGGAATTCAAAGAACCTAGAGTATCCTTGGGACTTAGCAGCAGTCTGTCTATTGGAGCAGCCAGGTCCAGTCAGGAGAAGCAGGTCAGTTGCTCCTCTAGGCTCTGCGCTAGCAGGTAATGCAGAAGCTGCCCTGTCTGCAGTCCAAGACGGGTCACCAGAGGGCACCTGGGGCAGCAGGAACTCCACCATCTCAGCTTCACCAGCCCTTTAGGATTAGGGTGGTTTTCCCATTACCACTGAATACTCTATAAGAAAGACAGCCCAGTAAGGTCTCTGAAACACTGGTGGAAAGACCCAGCCCTTCATCAAATATCTCCAAGCCCAGAATTTCCCAGAGAGATGCCTTCCTGAGCCTTTCCAACCTCAAGAGTCAGATCCCCTTAGAGAGAGAGAGAAAGTGTTTCCTGTTTGGTTTTCCAATCTTTTCCTGAAGATGCTCCTCTCTGCCGTTCTGAAAGCAACAGATGCTTTTCATGAAGCCACAAGTTAGGTCATGAAGGCTTGTGGGACTGTAGCTGGACAATGGCACAAGCAGTCTAGATCAGCCCAGCCCAGTACCTGCTCTCTCCCAGATGGTGGGAGACAAGCCCAACCTGTACCAAATCCAGACGCTAATCTCTGAACTACCTGGAACAGAGCCTACAGGACCCTGAGGATCCTTCAGGCTCACAAGAAGAGAGCCAAGGGTGAGCAGTCAAGCAGGATGGAGGGGGCCTTTGTAATTTTTTTCTCTCGAGGATTTCACTTATCCTTCTGGTAATATTATCCTGATGATCTGTTGCACAACCCTGGGGAGCACTACTCACATTGTATTTTATGTGAACAGCACCCCCTGATATGCATGCTCTTGGGGCACCATTTACATAGTTTTCCTGTGCAAATGGGGAGTTGTACAACACCCCTGTGGGGAACGCCTCCTCTCCTCACTCCAAATGGTTGTTCAGATAACACCCCAGTGGGCTCATGCTCCAGACCTAGCCAATAAGAGTGCCTTACCCTCATGGCCACAGTGATCCATTCAGAAATGGACATAGGACCCAAGCTGGGTCAGTCCAAACCAGTGAACATCAGACCAGAACTTCTGCCAGAAACAGAACAGAGGAAATCGTTATATTTCCTCTGGAGTTGCTAAACTGCTATGATATAAGCCTAGAGTGGCTGGTGAATATCTTGGCCTCTACTAGAGAGTTTGTTTGTGCATGAAGCCCACACAGACGAAAGCAGAGCCTAGGAGAAAAGCCAAGGCCTGAGGACATTGTTTGAGCTCCTACATGAAGCCAGTGCTACCTGTAAACTCTTCAGTTATGTGACCAGCTAATTCTACTAATTCATGACCTAAGCTATCTTGAGATGGATTTCTGTCACTTGCAACCAAAGGTCCTAGAGAAAGCTATATTCTTTGCCTCTGAAGAAGGTTCCTTCTTCCTTTCTCCAAACCCAAGTGAGAGCCCAGCCCTCTAGCCCTGGACTTTCTTAGCTGTCATGCCCTTACCTGACGAGCACTCCTACAAACAGACTGCCCAGGAGCGGGCCCAGCCAGTAGATCCAGTGGAAGTCCCAGTGGTTGGCCATCACAGCGGGTCCAAAGGCACGGGCAGGGTTCATGCAGGCTCCAGACACAGTGCCCCTGTAAACACCCAGCCACACCGGTCAAGTAAGGTCCCAGCCAGGCCCTAACTCATCTCAAGTTCATTTCCTCAACTAGGCCTGGGTCACGCCATGCAGAAACCATTCTAAGTTACCATATCGTAGGCTCCAGGGTGTATCCCAAAGAAAACATAGGTAAATAAATTGTTAGTACTAGGAAGTGAAAGGTTTGACTCCTCCTTGAGCATACAGCCTGCCACTCCCCTACACATCCTTCTAGTAAAATGACCAGCATACTGGTGATGGCAGGAAGAGAAGATAGAAGTAGGTCCTCTCCAAAGTCTATAAAGCAAAGTTAACTATGGGAATTTTGGAGTCACACTGACCTAGGTTCAAAACCTTGTTCAGTTATTTCTAGCTTTGTGACCTGTTTAACTTCCATGTGCTTCAGTCTCCTCATTGGTAAAACTGGGCTGAAACTACCTATCTCACAGGCTGTTGTCAGGAGTGAATGAGAAAATGCATGGCTAGCCTCATGCCCCACATATAATTCACATGCAATAACCTAACTATAATCTGGCTGAACCAGATTGAGACCTTATTGTGCCACAAGCTTGGGGCCCAGGGTCTGCTATAGGGGGACTTTTCCTCAGGTGCACCTTTCTAGTTCTGGCACCTGTATTCTTGACCTACTCACTCAGGTGGGGTCCCGCAGACTTTACCGTATCCCATTCATGCCCAGTAGCCAAAGTCAAAAAGCTTGTAAGTGAACCAAATGCCATTATAAATAAATAAATAAATAAAACTATTGCCACTGAGTTGATTCCGACTCATAGAAGCCCTATAGGACAGAGTAGAACTGCCCTATAGGGTTTCCAAGGAGCAGCTCACAGATTACAACAGCAGACCTTTTGGTTAGCAGCCAAGCGTTAAACCACTGCGCCACCAGGGCTCCTCAAATGCCCCAAGGAGGCAGCAAAGCATTGCTCCAGCTTTACATGCACATTCCTCAGCCCTCCCTAGACTCCACTTCCCAAAAGATGACAGTATATCTGGCCCAGGGGAAAGACTAGACTTGATTCTGCACCCAAAAGAAAGGAAGGAATTGGCCATCAGAAAGAGACTTCCTCACCCCCTCTTGTCCCAGATCTGTCACTTAATTTTCCACTGTCCAATGACCTTAAATATGCCACTTCTGTTTTGCCTGAGCCTCAGTTTCATCATGTATAAGATGGAAAGATAACCCCTTGCCTCCTTAACCCTCTCCCACGCCAGCTAAAAGGCTGCAAAATCAGTGAGACAAGGAGTGTGGATGCTCTTTGTAAGCCAGAGGCTAAAGCCAAGCTGCCCACCAGCTGAATGAACACATCGGAAACTAGAAAATTTCACATAAATATCTGTATTTCTGTCTTTCCTTGACCAGAATTGAAAGAAGAGTCACTCCAGTCCCACACTCCTACCCAACAACAATTTACTAGAGCTGAGTAGTGGTGGCCTCCTTTAGATACCACAGTCCCCACCACTCCCTGTTGTTGCTCAATGCCAGTCTACTTCACCCATTTGCATTGTCTTCCCAACCCCTATTGGCAGCTGACCCTCAGGTAGGCTCTGCAGGCCTGGTGTCCTCCAGAATGGAGACTTGGCCAAGTGTGGGCACTGTCTCCTGTTTGATGGAGCCCTCCCACAGTCCCACAGCCCCACAGCCAAGGGGAGCTCACCCAGCCAGGATAGCCACAATGACGGAGAAGCCAACGAAGAAGGGGGCCAGAGTGTCCTGGGTTTTCTCATTGATGACGCCCATGCATACGACCAGAGCCAGCAGTATCGTCAGGATGACCTCGGCCACCACTGCCCCCACCACCTGCCCCGGCTCCTGGACTGTCACAAAGGCCGCCCCCGATGCATTCCAGAACTTCTCCTCGGAACTTAATGCCTGCGGAGAGAAGCAGCTCCTCCTCACGTGGGGGCAGAGAGACGGCTGGGAGCTGAGGGGAGGGGGCCCAAATGCCTGCCCCCATGACCAGTGGAGGGTCATGGTCAAACCTAAATGAATCACACCGTGCAGTCAGACAGATCTGGGTTCCCATTCCAGCTCTGCCACTTTTTGCTGTGTGATTCTGTGTGAGCCTCACTTTACTCATCTGAAGGCTGGACATAGCCCAGCAGTGGCTCCAGGTGTTGTGGGCCTGAAGCTGACATAACTCAGATGACTCTTTGAGAAAAATAATACAAAAACATCTTATTTTGGCATTAAGTTTATGTTAGTGGTGGTGGGATAGTTTGAAAAAGAATTTGATTGCGCAACATGAAGAATGTAATCGATGCCACTGAATTATACATGTAGAAGTTGTTGAATTGGGGGAACAAAAAAAGAATGAACCCATGGGGAAAAAAAGAAAAGCATCTTACTTTTGCAACTCTACAAACACAAATGACCAGGTTAACACATTCCTGGACCTTGTCAGGGTCTTGGAAGGGGCTGTGCAAGGAGAGTCCAGAAGCTTCAGCTCAGTCAGCTTCATCTCGGCTCTGCTGCTGACCAGCTTGTCTGAACTTGGGCAAGTTACTTACTTTTTTGTGCCTCTGTTTCCTCACCTGTAAAATGGGACTGATAACAATAGCTCCTAGCTCACATGTAGAGCCCTTGGAGTATCTGGCACATAGTGAGTGCTCTCCGAGAATTGCAGTTGTTAGGAGAGTAAGTGAGAGGATGAATGTAAAGTGCTGAGCCAAGGGCTGTGCTCAGTGACTGCTAGCAGCTGCTCTGTCCTTGTCAAGTCCTTGACAAGTTTGCAAGTGGCAGGGCTTGAGTCTGGGCACTCTTCCATAGAGAATCAGAGCAGGAAGGTGTAGCCCCCTAGTCTACAGACAGGGAAACAGGCTGCGGGTCTCAAATGAGGACATGGGGAGACCTGGGCACGGGAAGACAGTAAAATGGGATTTAAGACCAAAGTCTGCAGCTTGTACAGCTATAGACCAAACCCCACCCAGGCTGACAGGGCTCCCCCATTCACCCCCACACACCCACTACCCTCCTCCACACACACACACACACACACACACACACCAAGCAAAGGCCCCTGGTTGAACTGAGACTTAAGGAAAAAAGGCAAGAGAGGAAGGGAAGGAGGGAGGGAGGGTAGGAGGAAGGAAGGGAAGGAGAGAGGGAGAGATGGATAGAGGGAAGGAAGAAGGGAGGGAGGGAGAAGAAGAGAGAGAGAGAAATAGGGGAAGCCAGGGCAGTGTTTTGAAGGTTTAGGCTGGTTGGAGACCTGACCATAAGCTTGGTCAAGGGAGGGAGGCAGGCAAGAAACTGTTAACCTAGAGAAGATTTCCTGACCACCAGGCAAACATCAAAGAGAGCTATCACTCCACCCACACTTCTCAAACTTTAACTTGCACACAGATCACCAGGGTATTGTGTTAAAATGCAGATTCCGATTCTGTAGTGCTGAGGTAGAGCCTGAAATTCTGCATTTCTAATCAGCTCCTGGAGAATGCTGATGTTGCTGGTTCCCTGGGCCACATTTTGAGTAGCAAGGCCCAGGGATGATAGTGAGAACTTCCTTTGGTCCTTTGCAGGGGCAGCTCTAGCCAGGCTGGGAGAGGGACATGGGGAAAATGATTCTGAGGGTCCAGGGTTCATGGAGTTATGTTATTGTTGTTGTTGAGTGTGCCAAGTCGATTCCGACCCACAGCGACCCTATGTGACAGAGTAGAACTGCCCCCTAGGGTTTTCTTGTCTGTAAGTTTTATAGGAGCGGATCACCAGGTCTTTCTCCTGCCCAGCCAAGCACTTAACCATTGTGCAAAGAGAGCTTGTCTGTATTTGGGCTGGGACCCTTGACTAGCTCTAGCCACCAGGGCTTTTTAGGAGTTATGTGTATAGGTATAAAAGTTCAGGGGATAGCCTTCCTGTTGGGTTGTGAGGATTCCAAACAAATGGAATACTGACTCCCATCAGGTGTAGAGTAACTCAGTTTAAAGGCAAGCAAACTAGAGAACAACTGCAAAGTTAGAGCAGGAGTTTCTTATGGAGAATTATCTTATCCATTCCTGTATTCTCACTCAGTGCTCAGTGAGATATTTGTAGATTGAATGAATGAACAAATGAATGAAAAAATACTTAAACTATCCAAATCCACTCCATCACAAAAAATGGGGTCAGGAAGTGAAAACTTACATCCTGGATTTTGCCCCTGGTCTGTCCAGGGAAAGGTTGCGTCCAGACACGAGGGCCTTTTGAGTGTCCCCCTCCCCAGTAGTAAAGGGATTTGTTCCACTGGAGGAAACCAGCAAAGAGTAGGACAGTTCCCCACCCCCCTCCCAAACACACCCCTCGAGCAGCCCCATCAGAGCTGGAGCCACCAGCCCAGCTCCCTTGGGGTCACCCACCTTGGCCAAGGCAGCCCCGATCAGCCCTCCACACAGCTGGCAAATCCAGTAGGGAAAGAGCAGTATCAGGTTGAGGCCTCCAATCAGCACAGCCACCAGGGACACTGCAGGGTTAAAGTGTCCGCCACTGGAACCAGCAAGAGAAGAAAGAAGTCATGAGGCCAAGATCTAGGGCTGACATTGGGGCTGTCACCTGAGGAAACGTGTCCCAACCAGCTGCCCAGGCAGTCTTTGCAGAGCCAGAGCCAGTCGAGGCATCACGTCTCCCCCATTTTCCTGAGGTGCCAGGGGTGGGATGAGGGATGTGGGGGACAGCCAGGAAAAGAAGAGCAGCCCATTTCCTGCCCTAAGCCCAGACCCCAGGATAGCCCTAGAGGAAGACCATGTAGGAAAACATTCCTTAACTCTCTACAAACCCCCTCAGTGCTCGCTCTAACCCCTTCAGAGATATGGCCACAGAACGAGACATGGGCCAGACTGAAACCCCAGGCTCCCAATTAGTAGCCCAAGAGAGGTATTCTGGCCTCCCCTTAAAAGTAACTAGGCCCTGAGAAGGCAGAGAGGGTTCGGAGCTGGTTGAATGGACACAGGAAATCCCGGGTGGAAAGGAGGAGTGTGCTGTCACAGTATAGGGAGAGCAGTTAGGGTCACATGACAATGTATGTATAAATTTTTGTATGAGAGACTAATTTGAATTATAAACTTTCACTTAAACTATGACAATATAATTAAATAAATAAAAGTAATTAGGCCTAGCTACAAATAATAATAAGAAATTATAAAAGAGAATTATATGAGTACAAAAAAAAAAGTAACCAGGCCCTGAATAAGAGCTATTAATTGGTTGAACTGCTCAGCCAATAAAACCCCTATTTTCTACCTGAGGCTGAAAGTAAGATTAGGATTGAGTGCAATGAGATATTAAGAGTTCAGGATAGAAATGAGACTCAGGGGTGGGGTCAGAAGCTCATGATTAGGTTAGAGATTGGGCTCTGGAGTTTGGGAAGTGGATGGGATTGGAGGTCAAAAGCAGGGTGAGCTGGCCAGCCCCTTGATCACTCATGGGTAAAGAGCCTTCCTTTCTACCAAGATGCTCAATCAGCCCAGATCTCAGAGCCAAGGGGCCCCCCAAGTCTCTGCTACTCCTCAATATCTTATCTAGTCACATTTTGATGGAAAAAATATCCTCAGAGTTTAGTCCACTAAATCCCTCTGGTCCATCAGGAATAATAATTAAAAAAAAAAAAAAAAAAAAACAGTTACCATTGAGTTGATTCAGACTCATGGCAACCCCATGTGTGTCAGAGTAGAATTGTGCTCCATTAGGGTTTTCAATGGCTGATAATTCGTTTTGGAAGTAGATCGCATTCTTCTGAGCACATTAACCATTGTACTACCCAGGAATTCCTCAAAAGACAGAAAGTGACCCTAAGGCCTCCCATGTCACAAAAAAAAGCCCAAGTTCTCCAAATGGGCCTGCCCACCTCCTTGTGCTGAGACTGGACAGAGGACCTTAGCTCTGGATAAAAGGAGGCCTTACTCTTTACCCAAGCACCCTGATGCTCCAGGACCAGCTGCCTCCAACTTGTTGGGCTCAGCCCAGTGCCCAGGCCCTTGGGTGAGCTTCATGAATTATTGGGAAGCACTAGCTGATGCTCAGGCTCAATAAGTAGGGGCCAGGGAGATGGCCAGGAAAAGGGGTCAGTTGGTCTCAATTTGAGTCCATGACCAAGCTTAGCCTGACTCTGCCAAAGAATAGAGATGGTGGAGGATGGGGGGGATGCTGACCTCTCCCAGGAGAATGCAGAGTTAGAAGTCTCTCAGGCCATTGACATCTCCTTCACCACCTCCCCCAGCCCAAGTGAAGAAAGAAACTTATCCTCAGAGTATGGCTCAATCCGGAGAAGGCTAGACCATCTGAGGACCACACATGTTCCCTAGACTCACTTCACACTTAGTAACAGCAAAACAATCAAGATACATTGTTAGTTCACTCATTCATTCACTCAACAAATATTTATTGAACAGCTACTGTGTACCAGGGACTGTGCTGTGTGCTTTACATACATTGTCTTGGATGCACTCAACAGCCTCATAGCTGCTCAATAAATATTTGTTGAAAAAGCAAATCACTGAATAAAAGGTTGATATTACAGAGAGGCACTGGACTGCAGTGCATAAGAGATGTTCTCTCCAGCCAGCTGGCCTGGGTTCAAATCCAAGCTCTGCCAGCTCTAGGATGTTGTTAGTATCAATAAATTATTACTCAATAAGCTATTATTACCCCCATTTATACCACTGTGCACAGAGAGGTTCAGCTACTGGCTCTGATCACCCAGCTAAGTGATACAGGTTGCATTCAACCCTGGACCATTCTGAACCAAAGACCATGAGCTTTTATTCTACCTGTAGCTTCCCTTGGTCGTTTAAAGAGAGACATTAAATTTCTCCATCTTCCTATTCTGATTTTCTGGGAAAGAAAATTTCAATTTCTTTATTCAGGTCTATTTTCCGAATGGGGTTAAATACAGACCAACTATGTCCTAGATATTGGTCATTACCGTGGTTCTCCTGGGAACCCACTGAACTCCCATCTGCACTGGCAGAGAAGGCTAAAGGAGCCCCTCCCCTGTCCCGGCACCTCTCCTCTGCTCACCCTTTGGCAGGCTGGAATGCTGCAGGTGTGTGCGCCCAAGTGGGAAAACCCCTTGGTCTACTCTTCTGCACGTGTCTGCATTCCCATAGGAAGCCCCTAGGCTGGACTAAAATCCCCTTGCCAAGAATAACAGTAGCACTGAAGGCAATACTGATTGAGCACCTAATATGTGCCAAGCTCTTGACCTTATTTAATTCTTGTGATTCCTCCATGAGGCATATGGGTGAAGGCGATGGAGCCAGTCAGGTAGGGCTTGATTCCTGGCTCTGCGGCTAACTAGCCATACAACCATGGACAAGTTGCATGGTTTTTCTCTTCCACAGTTGTAAATGGGAATAATCATATTACTTACACCATGGGGTTGTTGTGAGGACTGGAAAAGTTAATATTTATAAAGTGCTTGAATAGTGCCTGGCACATGGTTTAGCACTATGTATGTGTAGGCTTGAAAAAGAAAATAATTTTTAAAACAATCTATGATTCCCATTTTATAGGTGAGGAGCTTTGGGTTTGGAGACTGGCTTACCCAAGGTCCACAGAGCTCATAGGCTGCAGAGTGAAGCTTGAACCCAGGCAGTCAGACTCCCCATCCCACACTCTCATCCTCAGTGCCTCCTGGAATCCTGAGTGTGTGCCCAGGGGTGCCTGCCAGCAGCTGTGCCCACACCCAGCTCCCCAAATTACCTCCAGGCTGATTGCTTGGTGCTCGTCTTACCTGATGTTCCCCAATATGGCAACGACAAGGCTCAAGGCCAGCCCTTGGGCCAGGGCCGGCTCCAGTGTTCTAGTGTTCTGCTGGTTCTGGATAACCGACAGGCACCCAATGAAGATGAAGAGGGTCGAGCCCAGCAGCTCGACCAGACAAGGCTGCACAAACTGCTTACACCAGGGCACATGCCACCAGCCACTCATGCTTTGCTCCTTCACCTTGCCACTGCCAAATTCAAGGTCACACATGGATACAGTTGCCTGCAGAGGGAGAGAGAGAGAGTGGACACGGGTGGGAGGGGAGCCCAGACAGAAGGCCCTAGCCCTTCAACCTGGAACGAATTCTCAGCAACCCCATATGCTGCCAGGAGGGAGAGGAAGATGCCGGGGGTGGGCTCACCTCTCCAGACATCAGAGCTGAGCTGGGACAGGACCCAGCTCCTGCCTGAGCTCCTGGGAAGCCCGCACCTGCTGTGCTGACCACTCTTACCTCCAGGACGGGAGCCACAAATCCCATGACAGGTTCTGCCCCTTTTAAAGGGCTGCAGAGGCTCACCAAGGGTGTCAAGAAAGCAAGAAAGCAATAAAGCTCAGGTGGGAGGTGGCTCTGAGGCCCAGAAGAGGAAACTTTTTTTTTTTTTAAATCTCAACAGGGCAGGGCAGGAGAGGGGGTGTTAAGGATTGCTGAGCTTTCTGCCAACAAGGGGAAAAGGCAATGGCTTGGCTATGTCACCTGAGGAGTGCAGTTCAGGCTTCGCACACGAGATGGAGTGCCCAGCTCCCCGACTCCCCTCAGTCACTCTCCACTGCTCAAATGAGACCAGCATAGGTGGCCTGAGGAGGGCCTCAGTGGGCTGGGACTGCATGTGTTAACCAACACCAACTTCATCCTCAATTATTTTCCACGTACTCCCATGGATATCTCCTCCTAGGAGGCCCCCACACTTCTGCTCACCCAGCTAGCCTGATCCAAGACTGAGTGTATAGACAGACGACCAGTTCACTGTAGGTGAAGGGCAGCAGGGGCTAGCGAACAGCAGCACGGCACAGGGGTAAAGCCCATGGACTTTGGAAACAGGCTGCCTGGGTTTAAATCCCACGTCTGTTATGAACTGACAATGTAACTTTGAGCATGTTACTTAACCTCTCTGTACCTTAGTTTTATCATCTGTGAAATGGGTATTATAGTGATAGTACCAATGTCACAGAGTTGTTGTGAGGTTTAAATGAGTTAGTCTATGTAAAGGGCTTATGACAGTGCCACACAAATGCTAAGTACAATACCAGTATCTGCTAATTAAAAATATACATTTACGTGTAACTCATATTTATTGAGCACTTTCTGTGTTCCAGGCACTGGGCTAAATATCTTATATGTATTATCTCATTTAAATCTCACAACAACGCTATGAGATAGGTACTATTATGATAGCCGTTTCATAGATGAGAAAGTGGAATTTAATGAAGGTTAAGTTTCTCAGGGTCACACAGCTTTTGTGACTGTAAAATTGTGGGCTAAGTCACTACACTCCTTTCTAAGTCTTTCTGAGATGGATGGATGGATAGAAGAAAGGAAGGAGGGAGAGAGGGAGGAAAAAAGGAAAGATGGGTTTCCTTATTCACCCATTCAACAAATATTTAAATACTTACTGTGAGGCATCACCGTTCTAAGAGCTGGCTAGAGATGTAGCAGCAACAAGACAAGCAAGGATTCTGCTCTGCGCTCACAACTATTATCTGAGTGTTTATATGCATAGAGGTAAATAGAGAAATAATGTAGAGATAAGAGAATTCCAGTGATAATTTTTATCATTTATTGACTACTGACCACATGTCTGACGCTGTGCCAAGCACTCTGCATAGAGTCAAAACAACCCTGTGAAATAAATCCTACTATTTATGATCCCCATCTTTGGATGATAAAAATGAGGCAGAAAGAAGTTAAAGAACTCATCCAAGGTCATGTTAAATAAAAAGTAACTGCTTTAGGAAAGAAGTGGATACATCTGGACAAGAGTTGTACAATTTGTCCATGCTTTGATCACAGGCAGTCTGGGAAAGCTTGGGGTTTGCTCTTTTACTGATTATTTTTAGATCTGTTCTCTCCCTCCACCATTTCCCACAGGACGTTGTGTAAGATGTTGCTTCCTGTGTCCCTGTACATGGCAGCATAAGATGGTTGTCCAACCCCCAATTTCCCCATCTCCCTCATTCTTTGCCCAAGTCCTATCAGTGCTAACCAAAAAAACAGTTGCCATCGAGTTGACTTCAACTCATGGCAACCCCGTGTTTCAGAGTAGAACTATGCTCCACAGGTTTTCAATGTCTGTAATCTTACAGAAAGGAACCTTGGTGGTGCAGTGGTTAAGCTCTTGGTTGCTAACCAAAAGGTCGGCGGTTCAAACCCACCAGCTGCTCTGCAAGAGAAAGGTGTAGCAGTCTGCTTCTGTAAAGATTACAGTCATTGAAAACCCTATAGAGCATAGCTGTACTCTGTCCTATAGGGTCACTATGAGTCAGAATCGACTTGACAGCAAAGAATTTTTGGGGGTTTAATCTTACAGAAGTAGATCACCAAGCCTTTCTTTCATAGCACCACTGGGTAGGTTCAACCTTTCGGTTAGTAGCCAAGAGCAAGATGTTTTCACCACTCAAGGTCCTGACAGCGCTGCTTCCTAAATATTTCTCTCCTGTCTTTGTTCAAGCTTTCATTGGTTCTTGATTTGTCTCTTGAAGAAAGCAAACTAACATTTATTATACACCTGCTGAGTGCTAGGCCCTGCACAGGACACCTCACACACATTCTTTCAATTAATCGTTACAATAACTTGTATTTTCCCCATCTCACAGGCAGGAACTCTCTGCTGGTATTACTATAACTCCCCACCTGGTCTTCTTGCCTCACCCTATTTTAACCCGTTTCTGTAGTGCTGGGAGCCAGCAGGGCACAGTTTGACACTTGAGTCCAGGTGTGGGAATCAGACTTCACCCACTGCCTTCCCCCTCAGCCTCAGTTGCCCTGTCTATACAAACGGACTAGCAGTTGTACCTATCCCATAGTATTGTTGTGGAGATTAAATAAGACAATGCACTTAGCACAGTGCCCAATTCAGAGCAAGTGCCTAATAAATGGTAACTATTATGCTCTATGTGGTGCAATGGTTAAGAGCTCAGCTGCTATCCAAAAAGTCAGTAGTTCAAATCCACCAGCCACTCCTTGGAAACCCTATGGGGGCAGTTCTACTCTGTCCTATAGGGTCACTATGAGTCCGAATCAACTCGACAGCAATGCTTTGGGGTTTTGTTTTGGTTTATTATGCTCTGTGAATCCCTTGGCTACTAACTGAAAGGCTGACAGTTCAAATCTATCCAGAGGTGCCTCAGAACAAAGCTCTGGCAATCTGCTTCCAAAAGATCACAGCTACTGAAAACTCTACGGAGTACAGTTCTACTCTGTAATACATGGGGTCACCATGGGTCAGAATCAAGACTTGATGGTAATGAGTTTGGGTTTCTTTTGTTTGTTCTTTTTTTTTTTTTTTTTGGCTTATTATGCTTTGTATTTGTCAGAGAAGACTAAGATCTGTAACAAACAATCCCAACATTTCAGTGACTTAACATAATAAAAATTGATTCCTCGCTCACATAATAGTTCAAAGAGGGCTCGTCACCAAATGGTAATTCAGGGATCCAGTCTCCTTCTATCTTGTAGCCCCACCATCTAGGTACTCAGATCTTCTCCATCAGCCATCAAATGGGGGAAGAAAGAATGTAGAGGAATGTGCAGGAGATTTTTAAGGGCTAGGCCTAGAAATGGCAAATATCACTTTCATCCATATTTGATTAGCTAGAACTCAATCACTTGGCTTCACGGGACTGCAAAAAAGTCATGGAAATGCAGTCTAGCTGTGTGCCCAGGAGGAAAAAGAAAGGCATTATGTGGACGCTGTGCAATTCCTGCTATGTGATGTTGTTGTTGTTGCACCCCATTCTGTCAAACTAATCGCATCCTTCCCTGGACTTGAAATTCTCAGAGACCTCTCATGGCTTTCAGAGCAAAGCCAAGATCCCTTAGCTGATCACACAGGCCTTGATTCCTAGCCTCTGACTCATCTCTTGCCAAGTGAACTCTATAAACAATTTACCGGATGAGCCGCACGTCCTCACCCCTCCCTGACTATCCTGTTCCTTCTATTTGGAGTCCTCATATGCCCTCTTGGTCAGCTTCTCCTCATTCAAATGTCAATTCAGGTATCGTGTCCTCCCTGACCCTTATGCCAATTAGATGTCAGTCCTCCTAGACACTCTTTTCCCTCGCTAGAGCCTGGATAGGATTCAGTATGTCTGAAACCAGTGTCTCTCCAGAGAAAATCTGAAAGTCATTCAGGTGAAAAAAACATTTCCACTGCACTAGGTTTTTCACGTGGCATGATATCTCCATATAGGTCCCTGAATAGCTCAAGTAGTTTTGTAATCAGTTGCTAACCTAAAGGTTGGTGGTTGGAACCCACCCAGCGGTACCACAGAAGAAAGACCTGGTGATCTGCTTCTCTAAAGTTTACAGCCAAGAAAACCCTACAGAGCAGTTCTACTCTATAACACAAGAGGTTGACATGAATCAGAATCGACTCAACAGCAATGGTGTTTTTGTTTTGTTTGTTTTAAAATATATCTCCGTAAGCTTTGTACCATTCTACCAAAACCACTGGACCATTAAATAGAAAAATGTATGAGCTAGGGAGGTAGTACCTTCTTAAGAAATTGTTTAGCTGACAAACTTCCCAGTCATCCAACCCTAGGTATGGCTGAAATGACCAAGGCCTCTAGTTTTTATCCCTGTCTGAATGGCAACAGTTCAAAAGTCTCTGCATCTGTAAGCACGTGTCTGCCATCCACCACGAGGACCAGGAGTGTAAAAGCACATCACATTTTACACTAGGATACCACCTGCCCTTTCTTGCATTGATGGCTGCAGTGTTGTGCAAGAATGTGATGCAGCCATCTGAGACCATGAGGTGCAACTTGCCAGAAGAGGGATCCTTGATGACCTCACCAGACCAACAGAACAACCCCAAGACCACCTACTCCAGAGTTCTTGTTAAATAATAAACCTATGGTTCTCACATTGTATGCCATGGCACTTCAGGAAGCACAGTGAATTCACAGAGGGGCTGGAGGACATGTTAAACTTTCGAGGGAAACACAGTGATGCTCAGTATCTGTCAGCCACTGCACGAACCAGTTCACAGTTTTCATGTTAGATATCC